AACACTTAAAAACGGAAACTTGTAGTTAAAATCAGATGGAGAGAAATTTCTTACGTAGAACTGGAGACGCCAAACTGCAAGAGATCACTGAGAGAAACAAAAACCCGGAGCCTACATATTTAACATTTTCAAAATGCATAAGTCAAGCAAAAGGAGCAAAAGCCACAAACGCTCGACACATGAGAATATATTACTTACATACTTATTAAATACCTAATTTAACACATAAGCATAACTTCATTATTAAAACAAACAAAAATGTGTAGACTTTGAAAACAAATGTATTGGTTAATCGCATGTAAATGCAAAATAAAATTTATTGTAAAAGAATATTGGCTGGCTTTTACTTCTAAGGGATTCTCTCCAGAAATCTAAATCGACGATAATACCTCGAATATAAAATGTAAAATAGAATTCGAATTGCTTTCGGATTCCAAATGTTGAAATGTTAAAAATGATCATTCGTCGCAAATCTGGCGCTAGATAGCTTTAAACAGTTTTAAAGCCTGGCTAAGCTTGTTTTACGCAACTATAACTGTAATTACAAGATCAAAGTGGAACACAGGCTTCTAACATTTAATTTAAAATATTCAATTCTGCGAGTTTCTGCTTAAACAATTCGATTGTCACCCCAAAGTTTTTGTATGATACTCATTGAGCCATTTTTATGAAAGCATGTGTGTGTGTGGTGAGCATGTGCATATTTTGTAGAGAGCGAGCGAACGTGTGGAGAGCAAGAGCGAAAAAGTGAGTGTATGATTACTGGCGCAGATCAGTTGCGCTTGCCATTGCGTTGCGACGCGTTGTACCTTGACGTGCAGGCAGGTTAATGAAGTTTACAAACCCAACGAATTTAGATACATTGCGCGTTGGTTGCGAGTGCTTGCCTAATATTTAATATAAATTACATGGCAAATATTATTGAGTGCTATTGATGGTTAAGTAAACGCTATAAGCACAAACAGGGTGTGTATTTGTGTGCATAAAACGAAAGAGAAAGCCAATTAATAATTTTCTAATTCGCCGCACATTTGTATACAAACACACAGTGAAGTGTGTATGTAAATACAAATATGTAAACTTGCGCGCGTATATGTGTGTGTGTGTGCAAAGGGCACCGTTATGATTTAATTCCGAAAGTGCAGTTAAGGCCATAACACTTCAATTTATGTTACGGTTATTTATTACATACATGTACATATATCTTTGTATGTTTATTTAAAATTAGTTTTGTGTTTGCCCCTATAAGCGCCATACATTTAACTAACTACACGGATATGCTGCAGCGGCTATCGCACTTTGAGCTCAAGTGGCGCGTTTCATTAAAAGGCAAACGCCGCCGACCCCGCCGCCGCTGCCGCAGCTTAGCCGACGCTCTTCAGTGTTGTCTGTCTCCGACAGCTGGTCATAAATGTAAATTGAAGTGCTGGTATTTTTTTTTATAACGGCACTGGACATATTTATTGTGCAGGTAACGCCGTTACAAAAATTATAACGAGTGCCTGCCCCAGCTTGCTTGACTGCGATTTGAAAATCGGCAAACATGCAAACATATATACATTGGAATTTCCACTTGCATGTATGTATGTACATATGTATATTATGTACTCCACAGTGAAAGCTCTACTACCGGACAGCTCCAATCCCAATTTCTTACTTTGGGGAACCTCCGTTAGACAAGAACTAACCTTAATACGAAATTATTTAAAATTGTTCGCTTAAAAGTTAGTTCACTGTGTGCATATATATTTATGCCCATATTACTATCTTATCGCGAAACGTTAGAATTTAATTAGATTTATTCAATGGGAATTATTTTATGGATTATCGCTCAGTTATTACTAATCAGTGCAGTCGACTGGAAGTGGTCGAGTGTGTTTAAGCGGAACACGAGAGATCCCGGAAATAAAAAATACAAATATAGAAAACGTTTTAAAATAAATTAATAAAATCTTTAGAAATGTAAATATTTATCAAAGCCATAAATTAACGTAGTATTCATATTTCGTTTCTTACAGCAAAAACATGCACAAAGCCATTAAAAATAAGTCCAGTAAGTAAAATGAAATGAAAATCGATTCAACACTTATATTTGTATTGAAATGATATACTGTTTTTAATGAGAAATGTAATCCTTGAAGTTTTATAATTAAATTTATAATGAATTTATATTTCTCATATGATATAAAGTTTTCTGTTGTTAACGAGTAACCATTGTATTAATATAAAAATTACATTCATTCCACGTTTTTTTTTTTGTAATTAAAAAAAAAGGATTTTTAATAAAAAGAAAAAAAAAATTCCTGACTATCCAAGCTACCAATTTGTGTATTGTAGTAGATAAACCCGCTATCTTAATTAATATGCCAGCATTGTGAAATTTTATTATCTTTGACCATTTACCTTTCCCACAATCATCAAATATTTACGTAATTAACTAACTTTATTCATTTTTGTTGCTTTTGTACTACTTCTTCAGGGTTATTATGTGGCCTCAAAACCTCCAGGGCAGATTTAACTACAGCCAAATTCATATTGTACTATGGGTTTGTATGCATTTTTGTTAACCTTTTGCTATCCACCCAAGCCAACATAATATTTTTTTTTATTATCAGACCCAGCGTAGCTGATAGCGATATCTACGATCTGCATGACTCCAAGAATTTGCTGGAGGATGAGAATTTGGATTTGAGCAAAAATACGGTACTATATTTGCATGGCTATCTGGAGGATCCGGATGTCGAGAGCATACATGTTATCGCCGAGGCATATTTGGAGCGCAATGATACAAATCTAATTGTACTGGACTGGGGCGAGCTGGCGGACGGTAATTACATATTCGATGCGGTGGTCAATGCGAAACAGTTGGGACCGGAGCTGGCTAAAGTCTTGCTGGACATGTTCGAGCATGGTTTGGACATAGAGAAATTTCATATTGTGGGTCACTCGCTGGGTGGTCAGATGGCGGGGATTATAGGTCGCGAGATATTTAAACGCACCAAAGGAGTCATGAAAATAAAAAGGTGAGCTTTTGGAGCTAAATAGCTATTATCTAAATTAATATGTCATCATACTTACCTAGAATAACCGGCTTGGATCCGGCATTTCCGCTTTTCTACCTAACCGCTGGATTGGGCTCCCATCTAAACAAACATGATGCGGAATTTGTGGACGTTATACACACAGATGCCTGGCTATATGGAGCACCGAGCAGCACGGGCACAGCTGACTTTTGGCCAAATGGTGGCAAAACGTTGCAGCCGGGTTGTCCGAAACGCAACTATAAAATGCTCAGCGATAATGATTTGTCTAGCCACCGGCGCAGTTGGTGGTTCTGGGCCGAAAGCGTATCCGATCGTTTTCCAATTAAATTCGATGCGGTCGCCGCCAAAAGCTGGGACGATTTTAAACAGAAGAAATTTGTTGAATCTGAGCAACCTATATACATGGGTCATAACTGTCCCACAACGTAAGCTAAAGTGGATACGGATATAAGTTTATAATTTATTTGAATATTTCATTTTAGTATTCATGGCGATTTTTACTTACAAACCAATGGCTTAACACCATTTGCACGTGGAAAAGAGGGTATCAACTATGTCGATCCTAAAGAGTTATTAGGTAATAATAATACCTATGAAATTACACTACCTGCGAAAGTAGACCAATGATATGTGCTTACAATATATATTTGTATATACATATATCGCACGACTTTGTGTGAATAAAATAAATTGTTGCTTGCTTTTGTTAATTGAATATTTTTATTCATATTTTATAATCGGAATCTTTTGTTTTATTCTTGATTGGGTACAGATGCTAGTTTTTAAAAAAAATCTGTTTTCAATATTTATTTAAAGCATTTTAAAAAGTATATACGATGCCAAATGTATCGATATAGCATTGCAAATAGCTCAGACCTATCGATAACAAATAGAAACAGCCCTCGTTGCGGCACATTGCGCATCACTAGTGGCTTGTCGCAAAAATAATAGAAAACATATATTGTGCCGTGATTAAAAACAAACGTTTGTCAAAATGAAAATAAAACTAATTGATTCAGTTGTGCGCAGCTTTAAGGTTGCAAAAATTTTTCGCGAAAATACTGACAAAATCAACGCTATTGACTTTGCACCGAACGGAGAGCATCTGATCTCTTGCAGCGAGGACGACCAAATTGTTATATACGATTGTGAGAAGGGTACACAATCGCGCACGGTTAATTCGAAAAAATATGGTGTAGATTTGATACACTTTACGCATGCCAACAATACGGCCATTCATAGTTCGACAAAGGTGGATGACACTATACGATATCTGAGCCTGCATGACAACAAATATTTGCGCTACTTTCCCGGTCACACGAAAAAAGTCATCTCACTATGCATTTCACCAGTGGAGGATACTTTTCTGTCTGGCTCATTGGACAAAACGCTGCGCCTGTGGGATTTACGTTCACCGAATTGCCAAGGATTGATGCATCTATCCGGCCGACCCATTGCTGCCTACGATCCCGAGGGCCTCATATTTGCAGCCGGCGTCAATTCGGAAAGCATCAAACTGTACGATCTGCGCTCGTTCGATAAGGGTCCGTTTGTCACGTTCAAGCTCAACCAGGAGAAGGAGTGCGACTGGACGGGCCTGAAGTTCTCGCGTGACGGCAAGACCATATTGATCAGTACAAATGGTTCAGTTATACGGCTTGTGGACGCCTTCCATGGCACACCGCTGCAAACATTCACAGGCTATCCGAACAACAAGGGCATTGCCATTGAGGCAAGCTTCAGCCCGGACTCGCAGTTCATCTTCTCCGGCAGCACCGATGGCCGTGTGCATATATGGAATGCCGACACTGGCAACAAGGTCTCTGTGCTAAATGGAGATCATCCCGGTCCCGTGCAATGTGTACAGTTCAATCCCAAGTACATGATGCTGGCCTCGGCGTGCACAAACATGGCCTTCTGGCTGCCCACGTCTGAGGAGGGTGTTTAATATATAGGTTTAATTTTTTTTATATATATATTTAAGTAAATAATTACAGCTAAATGTTTATATTTAGAAAATCGACTAAACTCTTCTCTGCTCCTGTTCCTGCGCCTTGTGTCGATCGTAGGCGGCACGTATGCTGCTCAAGAGTTGCGCCAGATTGTGACCCATTTTGGCGCTGATGCCCAGGAGATCGGGTTGTTTCAGCTGCTGCTGTAACTGCTCGAAATTCTCTGCACTGGCTGCCACATCCATCTTATTGGCCACCACCAGTTGTGGCCGTTGCGCCAAACTGCCGCCAAACTTCTCCAGTTCGTGCATCAATTGATTATACTGCATCCACGGATTCGGCGAGCTGGCATCGAGCACAAATAGCAATAAGGTGCAGCGCTCGGCATGCTTCAAAAACTGTATGCCCAGCCCTCGGTTGCGATGTGCATCCGGCACCAGTCCAGGCAAATCCGCGATGGTCAGCTGCACATGATCATCGTATTGCACAGTTCCCAGATGTGGTCGCAGCGTTGTAAAAGCATATGGTGCTACCTTCGGCTTGGCACGTGTCAGAGCGTTCAGTAGTGTGCTCTTGCCGGCATTGGGAAAGCCAATCAGACCCACTTCGGCCATGCTGCGTAACTCCAAAATGTAGCTGCACTCCTCGCCGGGCGGTCCATATTCACACACTTTGGGACTGGTCTCCGTGTCGGTGGTAAAGAAGCGATTACCCTTGCCGCCAGCTCCGCCACGTGCGGCCACAAACATTATATCAACATTGGCCAAATCGGCCACAATCAGACCTTCGGTATTGCGGATAACTGTGCCAATTGGCACTTTAATCACCGTATGCTTGGCATTCTTGCCATGACAATCCTTGGCGCTGCCAATGCCACCTTCGCTGGCGCGCAGCACGCTATTCACGTGATTAAAATTACGCACATCGTTGGAGGCCTGGAAGATGACATGGCCACCATGTCCACCGTCGCCGCCATCGGGTCCGGCGCGTTCGTTGCACCATAGTTGCAGGAACGAGACGCAGCCGTCTCCCCCTTTGCCGCCAACAGTTCTCACTCTTTTCGCATCCGAAAAGTATTGTGCCTGGTTGATTATTTCCGATTAAAAGTTATGTAAACATTTTTTGTAGCAGTGTTTCACCTCTTTGCGCGATGACTTGCCCTTCTTTGGACGCAGTGCAGTTGCTATTTGGCAATAGTTTAAGCAGTTTTTAATTAAAGATTTGTTTATCATTCGGTTTGATATTGAAAAGAGAGACATGTTGTCATGTTCTTAGTTGTTATGTTTATATATGCCTATTGGCAGTATTTTATGCATATGCCGGCAGCAATATATATCGATAAATTTGTTTAATGTTTAAAAAAATACCAGAACCTATACAATCGACTTCAACGTATTTAGACTTCTAATTCACAATAGCTTTTGCCGATTTGGTGTCTGATGAAGTTATCGATAACCAATGTTGTGCCGCTGGAGTTTAGTGCAATTCAGAAAAATGTCCATAAGAGCTGCGCTTATAGATCTTAGTGGTACCCTCCATGTGGAAGATGAGCCAACGCCTGACGCTGTTGTGGCGTTGCAAAGGTACTTAAAGCTGTAAGATAAATATAAATGATAATTACAGGAATTATCTTGCAGATTGCGCAGCAGCGGCATAATCGTTAAATTTGTAACAAACACCACAAAAGACTCGAAAGCGACGCTCTACGAGCGGCTAGTCAAAATTGGCTTCCAACTGGAAGCCGCGGAAATTTACAGCTCATTGAGCGCGGCAGTTGCATTTGTGTCAAATGAAAAACTAAATCCGTTCTATTTGCTTACAAATGATGCACGCAAAGACTTTCCCGAAGAGGACCAAAGCCGGCCTCACGATGCGGTCGTCGTAGGCCTGGCGCCCAATGCATTCGATTATGAGCACATGAATAAGGCTTTCAAGTAAGTGCTGCGTCACCCGAGAGAAACATGCATCAGCGATCGGTCTTTAGGTTTTGCCATCTTTTCTTACAGTGTGCTGCTGCAGAATAAAACGCACAAACTTGTGGCAGTGCATCAGGGCAAGTATTATAAACGCGCGGATGGCTTGGCCCTGGGACCAGGTTGCTTTGTCAAGGGATTGGAGTACGCGACGGGCAGTACGGCAACGCTTATAGGCAAACCAAATTCCTACTTTTTCCAAAGCGCCCTGCCCGACGGCTTGAGAGCCGAGGAGTGCGTAATGATTGGTGATGTAAGACATACACCTATCTATGATTGGATGAAATTCATTGATGAAATTATTGCGATTTCCAGGATGCAAATGATGATATTGCGGGCGCCATGCAAGTGGGTCTGCAGGGCATACTCGTCAAGACAGGCAAATTCTTGCCGGATGCTCTGGCAGCGATCTCACCGCCACCCACGGCTGTGGTAAAAAATTTCGCTGAGGCCGTCGATTGGATATTGTGCAAAAAGCAAGGTAACTAAGTCCTTTGTTCAATTTGAAAACAAACCAGGCTCAAAAGTCGACAAAACTTTTTTGAGGTAAAAAATTTATAAATCGCGCGACTAGCGGTTGTTTTATTACAGTTGAACTGGTGCCGGCACTTTAATAAATGCTCTGGCAATTTGTATAACAGAAAATTGCATTATAACAGTTGGGTTGAGATCTTAGCTCAAATCCCAGGCTAGTGTGAGGCCAAAGGCAAGTGCTATTCCAAAAATTTATACGTTTACTATATACTATAGTAATAGTAATAATTTATCGCAATCCCGGATTTTAAATATTTTCGACAAGATATTTGTAAAAAACGAACCAGGAACAGAACCCAAACAAAGTCCAGTTTGTCATCCGAACTTTTAAAATTTTGTTTCTTTTCCCTCAATTCGCAACAATCTCTATATATAAAACTGTTTGTCCTGACTGACTGACTGACTGATTGGTGATCAAGGCACAGCCCAAACCGTAAGAGCTAGGATGCTGAAATTTTCACTGTAGTTACCTTATGTGATGTAGGTGCACGTTAAGACGGGGTTTCGGGAAATTCCACCCGCAAGTGTGAAAAAATCGCGAAAAACGTTTGTATGTAACTTTTTTGTTTACCATCCGATCGGCCTCAAACTTATTTTCAAAGATCTTTGTTCAAATTCATTTGAGGGGTGTTTCACACTTTTCGAAAAATACGTTCCTCCTTGGTGGAAATGGAGGTCAAAGATTTGGTGGGTGACGTTTCGCCCTCAAATTTATTTCCAGAGATCTATAAGAAAAATCATTTGAGATTTTTCCACTTTTTCGGGTGGAATGCGACTCAAAGATTTTTTGTGCGAAGTTTTAAGTTGTGTCCGATTTGCTTCAAACTTATTTTCAAAGCTCTACATAAGAATGTAATGAATACGTGTTTCAGCGATTTGGGAAATTCCACTCGCAACAGTGGTAAGTTGGCGGAAAACGTTTGTATGAAAGTTATTTGTTTACAGTCCGATCAGTTTCAAAATCATTTTCAAAGCTTTTTGAAAACATTGATTTTATAACATACGTGCCACGGGCAAGGCCGGGCTATACCCGCTAGTGATCTATTATAAAGTATACCAAAAATATCCGACACAACAATTCTCAAACAACATTTTTTTCGCCAATAATTAGAAAATTTATAAAATGTTTAATATTATTTATATAAATAAGCAAAAGTTCACTTGAAATGCAGCATATTTGACTGTTCGCAACAGTCTACAATATATTTTTTTTGTGTAATATGAATAGTTTGTTGAGTATGCAAATGTTGTATTGAATGCGATTTAGTTCAGCTTTGTCTGGGCAAATTTACTGGCCAATTGCACAATCTCATCGACGCGCTCGAAGTTGCTGCCGGAGGCCTGAGCAGACTCGGGTTTGCCGCCACCTTTGCCGCCCAAGACGGGTGAGACATGCTGCACCCACTCGTTGGCCTTCAGACCCTTCTCAACGGCGCTTTTGGGCACCGAGCACAGGCAAAAGATCTTCTTGGAGTCGGCATCGACGGAAACGAACATGGCCGCAGCGTCAGGCAATTGAGAGCGCACCTGCTTCAGGGCAGCGTCCAGCGCCTTGGTATTGTTATAAGCCTCCAGTTGCTGGACCAAAACATTTGCCTGCGGATTGGCCTCACACAAGGCCTTGGCGCGCTCCACAACCGTAACCGAGACGGCGGCACGCAGCGCACGCTCCTTATCATCGAGCGTCTTCTTCAGCGACTTGAGCAGATTGCGCATCTCGTCCTTCTTCACATAGGGTATGGTTGCATGCGAGATTTGTTCGGTTAGTTCGACAATTTGCTTCACATACAGCTTGGAATCCTTGCCAGTCTTGTCAGCTTCAATGGTCGCCTGCAGCTTGCTGATTTCCTGCTGAAATGCTTCGGATTTCTTGAGAGCTTTCAGAGCCTCAGGGCCCGTCAGAGCCACAATACGGCGAATTCCCTTGGCTATGGCCTCTTCGCTGCTGATGACAAAGTCCATGATGTGGCCAGAGTTTCTCAGATGTGTGCCGCCACAGAATTCCACAGAAGTCTGCTCACCCGCCTCGGCATCAGGCTGCGATTCGAGCTGATCGACAGGCACGCCAAACGAGATGACACGCACCGGATCCGGATAGACCTCATCGAAGACCGAGCGCAGGCCGCGTATACGCTTGGCCAATGCCAACTGCGACTCCTTGGCATAGATGGGCATATTTTTGTACACCATATCGCGAGTCAGTTGCTCCGTTTTGGCAACCTGTTCGATGGTCATGGCCGCCTTGCTGTTGAAATCGAAACGAAGTTTCTCTGGCACCACCAGTGAGCCCTTCTGTTCCGTATCCTTGCCCAGCACCTGCAGCAGACAATGATTCAGGGCATGCGTAGCCGAATGATTCTTCATGGTTAGCCAACGACGCTCGGCATCGATATGCAGCTGCACTTCATCGCCAACTGCTAGAGTGCCTTCGACTACGCCAATGTGGAGTATGTAGCCACCACGGTTGTAAACGCGATCCACCAGAAATTCATTTGCCTCGTCGTTCAGCTTGACTAGCGCACCCTGATCATAGATCTGGCCACCGCTTTCCGCATAGAAGTTCGTCTTATCCAGCACAATGCCGGCCTTCTGGCCGCTGCTGATCTCCTGGACAAATTTATTCTCATACCGCAACGCGACAATTTTGCTGGTACACTCGCTGTAATTGTAGGCGGAGTCGCGCTCGTTGGAAACAGCCTCGTATTTGTATTTGAAGGAATCATTTGTGGGCGGCACACCTTGATCCTGCAGCTGCGATATGGCATGCACGTCTAGATTGATCTCTTCGATTTTGCTAGCGCCTTTGCCCTGGGAGAGTATATACGAGTTATGTTTGGCCGCATCGTAGCCAGCCATATCAATCTGCAGCGACTTTTCCTCGGCCATCAGCTGGGTGAGATCCACAGGAAAGCCATATGTATCATATAAACGCCAAGCCACATCGCCGGGTATGGTGGTCTGATTGGCGCCCAGCTTCTCAATTGTGCGATTAAGCAAATTGCGACCACGTGTTAGCGTCTTTAGGAACTGCAGCTCCTCCTCGTTAATGATGTCCATAATTTGCTGTGGATCCTTTTTGACCTCGGGAAAAGCATCGCCCAGCAATTCGACGACTGTGTTCACCAGAGTGGCAAAGAAGCCAGGCTTGGCATTTAGCTTCTCCGTGGCATAGCTGTGCGGGCATGGAAGAAATGTTTAGGAGCGTTCCCTGTATATATATTTAATTAAACTTACCGCACTGCGCGACGAAGGATGCGGCGCAGAACATAGCCGCGGCCCGTATTGTCGGGATTACCGCCATCGGCCAAGGCTATGGTTATGGTACGAGCATGATCGGCCAGGACACGATAGGCCATATCGATGCCATCGACATCATCGGCGCCAACGCGTCCTTGGTAAGCCGGTGCACCAGTGCCTGCCTGGATGGCATCAAAGAGCGGCATAAACAAATCCGTATCATAGTTGGAGCGTTTATTTTGTATGACCGAAACCAAGCGCTCGAAGCCCATGCCGCAATCGATGTGCTTTTTGGGCAGCTGCTTGAGGCTGCCATCGGATTCGCGATTATACTGTATAAACACCAGATTCCAAATCTCTAGTACATCGGGATCATCCTGGTTGACTAGCTCAGGCACGCTGCGTCCGCCAATGCGATCGAAATGCAGCTCAGAGCATGGACCACACGGGCCCGTCTCGCCCATTTCCCAGAAATTATCCTTCATGCTGCCGGGTAATATGTGCTCCGGCTTCAAGCCCAAATCCAACCACATTTGCTTGCATTCCAGATCCGGCTCCAGGCCACTGGCAGCATCGCCGCCAAAATAGGTTACATACAAGCGATCCTTGGGCAAATTCAAACGATCCGTAAGGAATTCCCAAGCCCAGGTGCAAATCTCTTTCTTGAAGTAGTCGCCAAATGACCAATTGCCCAACATTTCAAAGAACGTGTGATGGTAAACATCCTTGCCCACATCGTCCAAATCGTTGTGCTTGCCGCCAGCCCGAATGCACTTCTGCGTGTTCGCTACGCGCACCCATTTGGACATCTCACTGTTGGGATCGGCTGTGCCTAGGAAAATGGGCTTGAATTGATTCATGCCGGCGTTGGCAAACAGCAGCGTGGGATCATCCAACGGTATCGTGCTGGAGGAGTGCACATAGATGTGCTGCTTTTCCTTGAAGAAGTTCAGGTAGGTATCGCGCACCTCCTTAGCGGTCAGGAACTTCATGATGCTCTAAAATTGGAGAACGCAAGACAAAGGTTAGTTTTGGCCAATTGCCACGCGACCAAACTGTCTGTGTGTACGTATATTCAATGCAAATGTGAGAAAGTGCACGAATTTAGTTTTAACGTGACATAATTGTATTAAATTCAATTGCAAAACTTTCACAAAACTGTTTATTTTTTAATGCGTAAACAGTTAAATTTGCATTTGTATTAGTGGAGTATTACTCACGTTTATAAGAATTAGGTGCAAATACAAAACAATTTCGTCAACCGACTGCAACAACGTGTAAGCCGAACCGATTTCAATGCGGCAAGTTCAGCAAAAGAACCAGTTCAGCCGGCAGCTAGTGCTGAGCAATATCGGCGAACCTGTGACTGAGGCACTGTGAAAGACATTTGCTAATTATTAAAAGTAAAAGACTCTCAGTCCCGACATTAACTGTGATCGTTCACTGTTAATATTTTATAGTAATATACATTTAGATCCCGAATATTTGCAAGCAAAATAGCGCTCACATGTCACTAACGGCAGTGTGATTGCATTGTGTGTGTATGACTAGTTCACGATTGCAGTCACGTCTGAATTAAAATCGAACCAGTTTTTAAGATATTTATCGATGCTTGTCTAATTGGCGGCGAAATACAAAGATCCAATTTACGCAAGCATACAAAATTAACATATATTTATAAGAAAATAACAATTTAATCAGATAACGTCCCTGTACATTTATTGTTCATAATCCAATCGCGGGGGCATATGCCTTGCCTCCAGCTCGTGCTCGATTTCCTTCATTCGCAACAATAAATTAAAGTTTTGCTTCTCCTCTTTGCCGGTCAGATACATGGTCAAAAATGCCTGTATGATAATTATTGTGCTAAGTGCGGGTATAATTGGACGCGTAAACTTATGATAGAGCATTAAAACCTCTCTGGGACTTTCCGTTATAGAAGGCAATCGGTAGGTATAGCATCTGGTCGCAAACATGAATGCAGCAAATGGTGCCAGTATCGTGGGATAGACAACACCTAAAGCTGTTTGAAAGGCGGCACTGCGCACTTGGGTGCACACAGGACACTCGGCTAGAGGATTTAGCAGTAATGGACGCTGTATAAAGAATTTGTGACTCAGCATTGTGAATATCGCAGGCACAGCCACGATGGGCAAGTAGCTGGAGAGGCGGCCATGTGCGCCAAGACGCAGACGTGTGCGGTAATGGTTATTAACGTAGGCGCCCGTAGCTGCCGCTAAGGCGCTGAGTATGCCGGGAGTATACCGCAATGACCAGCTGTATACAAACATAAAGAGGGTGTCAGTGGTTAGGTAAGCGGCATGAATTGAGTACATACACATCTCCAAGCTTGTCCCAGGATGTTATGATCTTCCACTGATATCGCAGAGCCTGATCCTCCGTTATGATAACAGCATCGGATGGCAGTTGATCGGGCTTGGCGCGCGATAAGGCCATACTTTAATTAATAATCAAAATAAAATGCACATTAACGGCACGAGTACGAGTACCAATAGAAAAAAACAGCTGAGCGCCAATGCTGTGGCAGTGTTGTTAAACGTCAACAGCGTCATTCACGTTCAACCGGGCTGTAAATGTTTGAAAGCTAAGCAATTTTCTGTTTTTTTACATAAATTATAAAAATGCCGCACAAGCGCAAAACACGATTTCAGTATAATCCAAAACAAGTAACACGTCGCGTGCAGCTAACAACATCAGCGCCCAATGTTTGCGTTAAACCCGACAATGGTTCGCATATAGAGAACATAATGCCTGAACAGCGACCGGTGCAGCAAAGGGCGACTCCTCAGGCAGCTGGCAATAAATTTGCAGTGCCACAATTTAACACAATGATACGCAGCCAGGCTGAGGTAGCCACATTGCAGAAGATGCGCGTTGCTGCAAGTGGCCCAGAATTAACGCCACGCAGCAAGGCGGCCATAGCGCCCAAGGTATGCATGAAGATACCCATCAAAAATCCAGTTTAATAAGGAAATCTTCAACAACGTTAGCTTACCCAAAAGATGAACTTTCCACAAGCCCGTACAGTATTCAGGGATTTAATACCAATTAATGTGAACGATTCGCTGCGTGAAATTGAGCGCCCCAGAATTATAAAAGCTAAGGATCCCAGCAAATCGAATATAGCGGAGCCCGTGCTGGCCGATTATGTGGAGAAAATAGAGCATGTGCAGCTCTTAATGCCAGAACCGGATCTAATAATGGAATTTCCAGACGAAGAATTTGATTTTCTGCGTGCCTATAGAAAAGTCTATCGCTACAAATAACAACAGATACTTTTAATGTTAAATTATACATTTAATCATAGCGTATAAATGAAGAATGGATTGTAACAGCGTGTTTTACTTCTAAGCTAGCCAATGAAGTTCATGACAACCAAGAACAGAATTACATGCGCAAATATAAAATCGGCAAAACCACGTTCCGGCGAGATGCCCGCAAATACGGCCTTGTTTTGTGGATTCGCCTGGAGACGCAGACAAACGGCCAGCACAAAGCAGCTCACGGTGCTGATGAAGCCCGACAGAAACGAATTGAAGGGAAATGTGCCCACCAGGCAGCAGTAAACAAATTGTATGATGCCGGTAAGCAGAATGTAGCCCAAGTAGATGTCCACCAGCTTAAGCTTTTTCGGTGTGTTCTGCACGTAGTCGGTGTAAAACTTGGATATTACGCCGCTGATTTCAACCATTTTTTTGTTTTATTTTGATGGGTTTTCGGCAGAAATTAATTTATTTTGTTATTAAACGAAACGCAGACACGTCACGCAAAACGCCTGGCAACTAGTGTTGCAAGACGCGATCAAGTTGCTCGTTGCACTGTGAATGGCCAGTAAATGACTGGAAAAGAAGCAGCAGACCAAGAGTCTAGGTTTTGTTTTGGTTGTCGTCTCGTCATCATTGCTATTTAAAAGGTATTATTTATTAATGTGTGCGGTTTGAAAATAGTTATATTTAATATATTGTTTTGAAATAAATATAAAATAACTTTTAAGTATATCTGTTCAAGTGTAATTCAAACTTGCCAGACAGCATTTCTGCGCGTTCCGTTAATTGTATGTCTGTGTGTGTATGTATTGTGCAATATAAAACAGTTGTGGTTTAGATAGAATAACATGCGTATGTATATACATATACAAACAAATATGCATGTATAAGCAACATATGTTTAACGCAAATTTGATTTAGTAACGGCTGAACTTATTTCTCAAATAACTTTTGCTATTTGTTCAACAGGAATTCTGCAAAATTCTGCGTTTGCGTCGACATCGTGACCTTCGCTGCGCCACATTCATTGCCAGTGTCAGCAGCGCATAAATAAAATCAATGGAAGACTTAACCCCATTGACCAACCTTCAACAGGTATGTACAATAGAATTGGCATAGCTTCCATTTAATTTTATTTAAATTACTTTTATATTTTTCTTACAGTTTTAGTTGAATGTTTTTATGTTTTCTTAACTGCCAACACAAGCAAAGCGACCACTGCCCGCATATATCCAATTACAACAATATCTTATCAACAATTTTTATTTGTAAGTGTTTATTTCATGTCATTAACAACAATTATTGCTTGTGGGTGGTTGTGCAGGGTTCCAATTAACAAATGGGTTTCGTATTTTGAGACTTAGAAATATGAGAAAATGAACGTGCGCTTAGACAGTTCGAGTCTGGGTCTGTGTCTGGTCTGGGTCAGGGTCTGTATATGGGTGGGTCAAATAGTTGTTACAGGCACGATTCGAATAGTTATCATTTCGAGAGCTTCAATTCGACTGGGTTATCACTACCTTTCTGTACACTATCTCTCACTCAGCAATACGCTATCATTTTGGGTTTCCTGGAAATTTAATATTAAAATCAGAACGCTTCGATTTCAATTTACCTTACAATAAGTTCAAAACTAATGATAATGATAAAGTGGTTGCTCGCAAAAATAACACTTCGCTTTTAATGTATTCCCATACATTGAAGCCCAATTTACCAAATATAAAAGTAATTTTCTACATTAAAAGAGTCCATTATCCGTCGATGTTTTATGTATATCTTAGAGGTTATTAAGAAATGTTTATTATTATTGCTGGCGAAAGGAATATAACTATGTAATACGTACAATGCAAAATGTAAATATATATATATTCTTTAAATATGCTTGTACATTTAAACGTAATTGTATAGTATTCAAATATGGTTTGTTATATTCCATTTGACACACTTAGATAACTAACCGTGAACAAAGCCGTAAGCATATACGAGAATTTTATAATGATTATAAAATATTAGTATAATAAAGTCATAGTCAACAGATGGCATCAGATAATGTGAGAGAAATAAGTTAAATTCCTTATGTTAGATGTGTGATAGTATTTTTATTTTTGTATTCACTTTTTAGTCTTAAACTATTTCTCATCCGGAGGTTTTTCAGGGCGTATTTCTGCTCTGATATTGATTGAATTCATCCATTCAATGCAACACAATTGGACAGCCTATATATTGTATGATATATTCATAATTCTTATCGCCTCTGACTTGTTTTCGTGCCTGAGCCTCTGGTAGGGGGCTGCATATGCCCAAATCAAGTGAGTCACTGGCCTCCTCGATTTGATATCGTTTTATGAATAATGCGCATATGAGCATATATATTAATATATATGTATATATATATATATATTAATGTAATCTAGTTGAGCTTCCAACTTGCTAGCCAGCCAACTGGCCGCCGATCAAAACAAGTCCAAGTCCAAGGCTTGGATTTCATATCAGTTATAGTTGCAGTGGCACACGCAAGAAAATTTTCCACTCCTCCGTTATCCCTTATCACGCATTATCCGAGTCCCTACTTCGAATTTCACTTCGCTGTAGAGAGAAAAAAGAACTGAGTCAGCGGAAAATTTGCCAGACACAAAAGCGGCGTTTACAGCAGTTCTGTGTTCAGTGTGAATTCAGCTGGCGAGGCGAGCGCATCGACTATCCACATACTCTCCACTCACGCACACATATGTGCACAGGCACAAATACGCAGTTCAACAGCATTCATTGAGATTTGTATTCTTTTTTTTTTTTTTTGGCCTGCTCCCTCAACTGATCTCACAGATCGCCGATCCCGCAAAGCGCAAGCCGAAGATGTCCGAACGACAACCGTTGCTGCTGCAAAGCGACGCCTCCGATTATGAGGGTAATCGCAGCGGAAACGATTTAATCCGGCCACCGGTACGCAGCTCACCGCCGGACAGTACGCTGGTCAATGTGCACAGCGAAGACAGCATCGCAGGTAAGTGCATTGTTTTCTATGCTAGATTAACAACTACTTAAAGTGGCACTTGAAATTGAGATAAATCACAAAGAGAAATGAATAGCTCTAGCCTGGAGTTTTGCCGAAAAATCTATGAAAATTACAAAGTGGTACAAGTACGAAGTCAGGAACTATTAAACTAGATGTCTAAATATACGAATTGCTTTGAATCTTTACCTCCTAACTCCTTTACCCCAGGAACTATTAAACTAGATGTCTAGATTTAAGAATTGCTTTGAATCTTGAGCTCCTATTTTAAAATATTATACTATACTATTTTTGCTCCTTACTCCTTTACATCAGGAACTATTAAACTAGATGTCTAGATATAAGAATTGCCTTTGGATATTTGGCCTGTAAGAATGTATACTTATAGTATATTGTTATAGAAATTCCAAATATTATACATATACACTTGAAATATGCGACCCATCAATGTATTAAAGTAATTATATTTTGAAAAGTTGTCTCGGCTGTTAATGCAGATCAGAAATTTATATGGGCTCGCGACTATCAACAAGAATGCGAAACACACTTCGTTACAATGAAATCATAACCACGGCAAGATTATTAAGAATACATAAATCAGGCCATAATTCCGTTTCTCTTTCACACTATTTCGCACCTATATACATCGCCCACATGTTAGCGAAATATCGCAGGGAAATGTCAAAGATGACGTCACAACTAGCTGAAGAGCACAAAATGTGGACTGAGGCTCGCTTGTTGCTTTGATCTCGAATTAATATAATTTATAGTGTATAAATTGTGTAGCTCTCCTCCATATAATATTTATTATTGTTTTGGCGCCACTTGAAGTAAATGTTATCATAGCATAAACAAAATATTATTTATTTATTAATTCAAATGAATTTTCGTAACGCACAGTGCACGCGGCAGCCGCTGGCGGCGATGATGAGGACGAGCAGAGCAGCCAAACGGGCGAGGAGAACAGCAAATCGATCTATAATCCCACACATCATCGCACACTGGAGCATCCCACATCGAATTTCGATACGTTGGTGCATTTGCTGAAGGGCAACATTGGCACTGGCATATTGGCCATGCCGGAGGCGTTCAAGAACGCGGGTCTCTATGTGGGACTCTTTGGCACGCTGATAATGGGCGCTATTTGTACGCACTGCATGCACATGTTGGTCAATTGCTCGCATGAGCTATGCCGGCGACTGCAGCAGCCGGCATTGGACTTTCCCGAGGTGGCCTTCTGCAGCTTTGAAACGGGTCCATTGGGCCTCAGACGTTACTCGCATTTGGCGCGACGTGTTGTCACCACCTTTCTGTTCATCACACAGATTGGCTTTTGCTGCGTTTACTTTCTGTTTGTGGCACTAAATATCAAGGATGTGATGGATCATTATTTCAAGATGGATGTACGCATCTATTTGCTATTGATGCTGTTGCCCATGGTGCTGTTGAATCTGGTGCGCAACTTAAAGTACCTGACGCCCGTCTCTCTGATTGCGGCTGTCCTGACCGTGGCTGGCTTGGCCATTAGCTTCTCCTATATGCTGCACGATTTGCCGGATACGCATACGGTCAAACCAGTTGCCACCTGGGCCACATTGCCGCTATATTTTGGCACCGCCATCTATGCGTTTGAGGGCATTGGCGTGGTGCTGCCATTGGAGAATAATATGCGCACACCCGAGGATTTTGGTGGCAGAACAGGTGTCCTCAACACGGGCATGGTCATTGTTGCCTGCCTGTACACCTCCGTTGGTTTCTTTGGCTATTTAAAGTATGGTGAGGCTGTTAAGGGCAGCATTACGCTCAATTTGCCGCAGGGCGATTTGTAAGTATACAATATATTTATGATTTTCTATTTAGCTAACACATTTCAATTTCGATCGTTCACAGTCTATCGCAGCTGGTACGGATATCCATGGCCGTGGCTATATTTCTGTCCTACACCCTACAATTCTATGTGCCCGTCAACATGGTGGAGCCCTTTGTGCGCAGCCATTTTGATACCACGCGTGCCAAGGATCTGGCGGCTACGGTGCTACGCACAGTTTTGGTCACATTTACCTGTAAGTCAGCTTCAGCATATAAATACATTTTCCCGATCACTCCATTTTTGTATGCTCCATGAGTTATGTCCGTCTGTTTTGGCATATGTCTGTCTGTTTTAGTAAACGCGACTGAAAAGTTATATGATTGAATCTCTTAAATTACCGATAACTCGCCATGTTGTCCCAATGTCGATAAATATCGATTTACAGCTGCGGATTTTTGTGTACAATTTGTAACATGGTTACCGTATACCAAAGATCGTAGTTATGTGGTTTCCATTAGGTTTCCTTGATATCGATAATTATCGATTTTACACTATATTTATATTTAAATCATGTTTTGTGTCTCATCTTATAACGAGTTTTTATGTACTAGATGGAATGATATTGTAGATTCGTACAATGAAAACGTGTGGGTCCTTGACAGTGTTGCCAACTGTCGCTTCAAAAAAGTAACTGCTTTCACTGCTTGAAATAGCTAAAAACCGCTAAATTAGCCTTTTCGAAACAAAATCGCAATAAGAAGCGTTGTATTTGCCATTTAGATGCCATAAAAAGTCTGTTTCCTAATCATCTATGAATCATCAGATCATTTCTCCTATATTACATATCGCTTTCACTACAGAACATTTGCTTCGGTTTGCTCTCAGTGTGTTCTATCTGTGATGTCTAATAGATCGCTAAAATATATATGCTGCAAAAAAAAAAAAAAAAAAATTTGGAATTTGTCAAAATTAGTTCGCTTTCTTTCCTTTTGATTGACAAGTTATGTGAAATAATAAAAGGGCTTGTCACGACCATTTGGGAAGTTTTAATGGGATTAACCGAAGCATTAGGCGCATTTGCATGAATATTTTGTAGGATTGAGCATTACATTTTTCTAATTTTGAAGTGATTTCTTTCTAGTTATTTTGGCCGCCGTTATACCCAATCTGGGCTCGATTATCTCGCTTGTTGGTGCCGTCAGCAGCTCCGCTTTGGCGCTCATTGCGCCGCCCATTATAGAGATTATAACATACTATAATGTGGGCTATGGCCGCTATAACTGGATGCTTTGGAAGGATTTTCTAATATTAATATTTGGGCTGTGCGGTTTTGTTTTTGGCACTTGGGCGAGCTTGGCACAAATTCTGAATCCGAGCATAGATTAAGGGCACCACCCAGATTCTAGCATCTCCTCCAATATTTAATGATCGTGTGCGAATTTACGACGAAGGCTTTACTGTAGTTTTTTACTACAACTCTACGATAAGTTTTTGTTTTTGAGTTAGATAGTTTTATTTGTGTTTAGTTTGAACGTTTAGTTTGCTTTTGTTGCCCAAGCACCCAAAGACGTTGACGTTAACAGGTGCTACATTTTGAATATGTTAGTCGATTTTATTTATTTTAATTAAGCGCAAATAATTCGATTTGTACCAGACAATAATTAGCATTTTCTAGGGCTTCAAATTGTTGTTTTATGTCTTCATTTTTGTTTTTTTTTTGTATTGTCTCATTTAAAGTGACTTTTGTTAAGGTAAAGTTTTTTCTTTCTGTACATTTTTAATCGAGTATCGCACAATGCCAAAAGTGATTTCGTATAGTATTCCTAAACAATGTTTGTTTAGTTTTAACTGTTATCGGTTTTAGTTTAAGGTCAGCGCCGCTCATTCCAATTGCCAATGGCCGCAACAAATTGTGTTTGAAAATATAACTACGTATAGCTTAATTAATTTATGTGTGTGATTTCAGACGACATTATACTCTGTACCATTTAGTTGATATATTTATATATATCTAGCGAATATATTATACATACAATAATTATATATCTACATCTACATATGCTGTCAAATATGCCTAGCTTCGAGTTCTCACAGTTCTTCATAATTGCTGGGCACATTTCACACCATATGTTTAGAGTATATATACATCAATATATAAGTGCATATATGCCAGAGATTTGCTTTTTCAAACTCTGTAATTTATGACAACACAAAAAATCTGTAATTTCATTACAATTTTCAAACAGTAACTAAAGACAATAAATAATTGCGTTTAAAGTTTGTAAAAATCCATTAAAATGTTTGCCTTACTCTTCCACAAAGTCGGTTTATGTGCGTACATGGTCTATAATGATAATAAATAGATACGTTTGCGAAATATTGATAGCGAACCGCGTCGTGCCCACATTTTGAATGCTGACCTAAGAACTAAGTTCTAGCTAGCATGGACAGGGACTATCAGTAATCGCATCTGGAATCTTTGATTATACGAAAGTGTAAATAATCTTTGCTAGAAGTATAGTTCCAGGTATTTACAGTATGTACTAAGTATAGAAAACTGAGCAACTCGACATGTCATGCAGCTCTAGACTCATCTTACAGCAGTAGAATAAATTTTGCTCAGAGATATCAGTTTTTTTTTAAACTATTCCAGCATATATTTATTTGTATCCCCCAAAGTCTTACAAAATATCTAAAACATATGCATACTCACGTGTTAATATGCTGATAGATATTAAAAAAAAAAACATCTTGTTCCACATTCAAAAAAAATTCCATAAAATATATTTTTATTGAAATTATTTGCATTTGCTGAAAATACGGTCATTAAAAGAAAAGTTACAATCGATCTTGGTGCAATGCATGGTTAGCACAATTGCGCTTATAATTCCCAAGTGTTCATTCGGTGTCGCTCACGTATATAACGGGGGTTGAGCCGCGCGTTTGTTTGTGTTGTTTGGAAGGAGAGCAAGTTAGCACTCCCCTAGACAAGGATGGAACACACAAACGAACGGCGGGGCACAAGACGATGCCGTTCACAAGTTTTTTTTTTTTTGAAATGATTTTTTTTTTTTGTTTGAGTAAAGTGCAAATAGTTTATAACATATCGCTTTTCCCCTTTCATTTTATAACCCATTTAAATTTAATTAAAGGGTATAATAATATATATTATATATATATAAAGGGTTTATATACATATACACATTCCTGATCAGGTCGACGACTCACCCCCATATAATTGATAATTGAAAGATTATGCTTAGTTTTGTGTGGTCACATATTATTTGAATTTATTTGCAATTTGAGTGCTCAAAGAAGCCGCTTACTCGCTTGGGCATGGAGAATACCATTGCCAGGAGCTCCATGGAACGCAAGTAGATGTTTTGGGATCAAAGCCGGTCTGGTCATCGCATAATACGGTGGTGGCCGTATTACCCTCGCATACCCAGTACCGAGTGGGATCCCAGTTGTTGCGGTACCTTGTCGAGCTGGTGCCAGAGCAAGTGGGCTGTCCATTGCCATCGGGATTGCAATCGGCGCCATAGGCGACCGCCACGAACAGGGCCAGACAAAGAAGAACGAAAGCTTCGAGAATGGAAATATATATATATATAATTTGCTTGATATATTCGAATACCAAACTCACCTGCTTTCATATTGGTCAGAGTCAGACAAGTGAATGCTTCTGAATGTGCCCAACCAGTTTGATTGGCACAGTTTATATACGCGGTTGACGTTGCCTTTTTCCGGCCTGATATCTGGGCCTGGCTGTAATTATTCTAGTTCTTTATTAATATAACACTTATCTAACGATGTTGTGTTCTTGTTTGTTATATGAGAATGGTTGTGCTCCTCGTGCATTGATAACTTCGTTGTTTCATTCAAAATGAAAACGTTCAAATTAATCTAGCTGCTGCCTTAAATCTATTGCACTATCTAGACATATGACTAGTTAAACGCCGCCGAATTGGCTGATTAGTAAATCCGTAATACACTGCGCTCAGGTAAATCGAAATTCGTGAATTATTGTATAAAAATCAAACCCAAATTCTGAATTAATTAAAAATATTAATTTCGAAATGCTTGAGGCTTGTTTATTAACAAAATGCAGCAAGAAAATTATGTGCAAATATTTTCTGTGTTTGTGGGAAACGATATACGGGATATTTTGAAATATATTTAAATATTTGCTATCTGAAATAGTTAGTCATTTTTTTTCCCTTGTAGAGGATATTTTAATTATTTATGAAATGTGTAGCGCATAGAAGGACACGTCTCCAAAAAATAGTCTCAGTTCTCATGCGAGATCTTCCCTCTATATCATATAGCTGCCATAGGAATGATTGATCATAACTCATTAGTTTGTACTTGTATTTTTATTTAAAAGATATCTAGACCAAGCTAGAAGCAAAATCGTATCAGTAATTTATTTTGTAGCTCTATAGGAAGAATAGAAAAAAGAGTTTTTAATAAAAAAAAATCTGAAAAGCTGTAAAAAAAATGTTTCTTCTTCAAGGCTCGAACCTGGTGCCCCTCAACATCACAGAGTTTCAAACGGTTCTCTGATTTATTGTAAATATTAATCCAAAAATTATACTTCGACAAGGCTCGAACCCGCTTCCTCTCCATTTCCACAGCTTAGTCAGATATTGATTACAAAAATAGATATAGTCGCATAAAACTTTGATTTATTTGCAATTTGTTTGGTTCAAAGGAGTCGCTTAAGCGGATTCCGGGCAGGGCGTCGTCCATTGCCCGCTGCTACAAACGACGCACTCAGATGTTTTCGGGTCGAAGCCGTCGGATTCGCATTCCTTGGAAACGGCCCTTTTACCTTCGCATACCCAGTAGCTGGTGCCAGTGCAAGTAGGCTGTCCATTTCCATTGGAATCGCATTCGGCGTGGACAGGGCTAGGCAGAGTAGAGCAAAGGCTGTCAGATCATATATCTATGGTACTTTTAATTTTATCGAAACTTACAGGTTTCCATATTGGTCAGTGTCAGACGAATGAGTTCTGCTGAACTTGGCTACATTGTTTGATTGCGTAGGCGCTTCCTATCTCGCCCAGATACGTCGACTGCAAATACAATAGTTTTTTTATAAATACTTTATTATCTAACAATGTTTTCGTGGGGTACATTATAAAAAGTTAAAACTAATCTATTTGAAGAGTAAAAATCGATGACACTATCTTACTAACCGCTTGCTTAATTGGATGATTGGCGATTCCGTTTCCAAAAGACAAATCAAGAGTCGCAATTTCCGCATGACATCCTGAATTAAAAGAAAAGTTTGGGGAAATTAGAATTTAGGAAAGAATTCATTTGAGTTAATTGGAATATAAAAGGTCAGCTCAGGAGTACGAAAAGGAATAGCACGAGGAATTCCTCTCTTCTTATTTGAGTAATTGGATTAAGCGTAAGGAACCAGAAATCAGGGAATACTATGTCTAATAATTACTTAGATTATATCATATATCTATTTATACGACTAGCGAGTATAACCCGCACTTGCCCGTGACACTCATAAAATAAATTTTCTCAAAAAGCATTAAAAATGATTTTAACACTGATCGGACGGTAAACAAAAAACTTTCATGCAACCGTTTTCCGCCAATTTACCACTGTTGCGGGTGAAATTACCCAAATCGCGTATGTAAAGCTTGAAAACAAGTTTGATGCATATCGGAAGAAATTTTAAACTTAACCCTTAAAATCTTGAAATCTCATTTCTACCCAACAAGTTTGGATTCAGCAAAAAGTGTGAAACACGTCTCAAATGAATTTTCATTTAGATCTTTAGAAATGAATTTGAGCGTGAAACGTCACCCACCAAATCTTTCACCCCCATTTTCACCAAGGAGGAATACAGTTTTGGAAAAGTGTGAAACACCCATCAAATGAATTTGAACAGCGATCTTTGAAAATGAGTTTAAGGCCGATCGGATGGTAAACAAAAAAGTTTCATACAAACATTTTTCGGGATTTTTCCACTCATGCGGGTGGAATTTCCCTCACTAAATTCCCAGTTAATAGAAGAAAGGGGATAAATTTGGTTATAAAAGAAAGTAGGTGTCAAAATTATCAGTACAAAAAAAAAATAAACAATTTGAAGCACAAAACATTAATAAATCGAGAAGCTAACGATAACATAATGGAGACCAAAATAATGAAAGATTTTCGTGAACTGGAAAGATCGGTGCGCTGGTTTCGTGGCATGTCGGCCAAACAGATCGGTGCATGCAACAATTTGTTGCACGCCTTGCGCGACGATATTGAACAGAATTCGACATATCGTGTGCGCGATTGCCTGAATCTATTGGGACTGCATCCGATGATTAATGCCAATCAGTCGCGGATACTGATGGGCATTAGCCAGGGCAACGATTTGGCCTTTCTCTGGTTTCTGTGGGAGTCGCACTACAAGTCGACGCACAGCTGCCAAGAGGAACTCAATGAGTACACGGCCAACGAGCAGCTAATACTCACGGCTATCGCGCATCTGGACATGACATCGACTCTGCGCGGCCTGGACAAGATATTGCCCACTGCGGAGCATTCCAAGAAATACCAGGATCAGCAGCTTCTGCGACAACGGCAAAAGCTCGCCAGGCAGCAGCGCCGACAAATGCAGCAGAATAATCACATGCGGCCCAATGAGGCCGCAGCCAATGACTCGCCGTATTTGGTGCCACAGCTGCGACCCAAGCAATTCCAGCCGCGATCATTCAAGCCCAAGGAGCGTTTGGTGAGCTTTCGGAATTATGAAAAATTCAAGGATACCATGTACAACATACCCAACGAGTGTTCGCGCTGGTTTGCCAACTACGAGCTGTCGCCGATCAAGCGCGAGGTGAAGCGTTGCCTGTCGAATGCCCTGGGTCAGCTGTTCGCCGGCAGCAAACGCCGGCAATTGGATAGGACGCTGTGCCAGGTGCATCGCATGTTGGAGCATACGACGGCACGCAAGCAACAGGAATTGACCGTGGAGGCGGTCAGGCGTTGCATGCAACTGCTGGACGTGCCGGGCACACAGAGATGCCAGCGCGGCGATCACATTGTCCGCCAGCTGGAGCGGGAGGTGCTGCGTGCCGCCGAGCTGCTGCGACAGCATAGATTGCGCCAGCTGACCGCGCTGCAAAAGATTGCCGGCGGCATTCAGAACCACAAATGCAGGGGAGGATGTGAGGCATGCGAGCAGTTGGTGTCGGCTCCACCGTTGCCCCGCATGGGCACTGGTTGTCCGGGTGATCTCGGATTGATACTGCCAGCGGATGGCGATAGGCCGGAGCATCTGTTGTTGCACGGCGACGACATAGATCCGGGCGTACATGTCATGGAATGGGGGTTCGAGAAGATGCACAGGACCATCCGCCTGGCGGACATTCGTAAGAATCATCCCGGCGAGACTTGTGCCGGGCCCAAGGCGCCCCAGGTTCCCAAGGCTCAGCCTAAGGCTGAGCAAGGGATTAATGTCCTCATTGAAGGTGGTGAACCCAACCCAAATGAAAGCTCAGAGGAAATGTTCTGGACCAGGCGTTGCATGCCACACGGCATGCCGGAATGGAATTTCTTCAAGGTCTTCGAGCCGCCGCTGCAGTCGGATACACTTGGACCCCTGTCAGATGCCCAGCCGCTGATCCGTAGCTATTGCATTGCGGCGCTCCAGAAGGCCATAGAGGCCAGCGCGGAGGCGGAGGCGCAAAAAGTCTATGGCAAAAAGCACGTGGAGTGTATCAAGCTGAGGGAATGGAACACATCCCGCACAGCGCTGGATGCCGCCAACAAAGTGGCCGCACAAATGTTTCGCGAGGCCCAGGAAAAGCTAACGCAATGCGTTGATCAGGAGAATTCTGATAAAACGCAACGTTTGGCAATGACCAACATCGATCCGGAGGATTCACAGGCGCTGATCGCGCTGCTTAAACAAGCCGTGGACATATTGAAAAATGATGCCCATTATGTTCTGGTCACCCTGCCCAATGCGTACAAGTTGCCCGTGCTGCTGGACTGGGTGGCGGAGCGTTATGGCAAAACCTATAGCTATAAGCAAATGTGTGAAATGGCCCACACAAGCCATCTCATCCACGAGCGTCTCTATAAGGAGGCTATCAGGCGGGCACTTCCATTGCCGAAATATCATCAATTTATTGGCAAAAAGCTGTTGAACGAAGATCTTAACCATTATCGCAGCTATATGTGTGGATTTAAGAAAATGAATCAGGAATATCATCACAGACTGAATACCATGGCACTCGAGGATTCGCGTCTGATTTGGTTCGCACTGCGCGGCTATACCCAGCTGCCCGGCTCGAATCCGAGCACCTTTTTTGCCTATATGCCCGCCAAACAGCAGGATTTGCTGCGGCACAATCTGTGGAAATCGTCCGACTTTCGTCGAGTTGACACACTTCGTCGATTTGCTAAAGAGATGCACAAATAGCAGGCACTGTCTGTTGCAGTGGCGAATATATTGAATGCGATTGTAAATCAACTTTCCTTTCAATATGCTCGCCACTGCAACAACGCGCCAGCTAGAGTACTTAGATGCAACCTATAAATTCTTTTCAATATAAATGACTCCTGTGTTTCTACAATTAAATGCATGTACATGACTGTAAAAAAACATAAAAGAAGGTTTTGGTTCAAGGTTCAAACGGTTTGTTGACCTGGTTTTAAATTTTCACACCAAGTTCGAACCTGGGAAAAGAAATGTTGAAAGAACAGGGCTTAGGGTATCCCCTAGTCGAGCACCCTCAACTAGAGCCCTTTTACATGACCTTTTCCCAAATGATTGTGGCAAATTTTAGTTACATGATTTGATGGCTCGCTTTTAGCATGCTTAAATCAGCCTAGATTTTCCATAAGTTCGAGCCTTGCTTCGGCTCACATATTTCCCATTAAGTTCATGAACCTTGTGGAAGCCCTTTTGTTGTGTCATTTGGTTAGTTTCTATAAAAAATGGGCGCTTTGCAGAAAAGAAGAGTTTTTATTTTGTTCGTGAATCGCCTCTCTATGCGCTTCTCATAAAGGCAATTAAAGCCTGGGATTTTGTTGTATGTTATATATAGCAATAAGAAAGTTTCTCTGTTTCTTTATTTAAATATATTTGATTTGATCTCTTTTGAAGATCAGATGTCATTCTGAGAAATTCATATAAACTGGAAGAGCATTTCTGGATTTCGTTTAAAGTCGAAATTACGTGAGAGCGTGCTTATTTTTGATACTCAATATAAATCACTAGAGCACTTCGGGCCTTCTATATATTATATAATGATATCATTTGTGAAATGTAGTTATATAGATCATTTTTGGAGCGCGTCATCTTCCACACGAGCCAATAATCTGTGATAAGAGCTACCGAAAATTGTTTCATTTCCCTAACACTCTCACCCATGTATCGCATTTAGATAGCGTTTCTACGAAATTCTATCAAAATTCTCTATAAACTGATAGCTGAACTTCGCACGTTTCTGATTAGAATGACGAACCGCAGACTTTTGGGACAGTCGAATGTACAATTGGAAACAGTTCAATCGGATCGAGACGATTTGAACACATTTGACAAGGCCAAACGAAATTTTGCATTCGCGTTTGCAGAAACTAAAAATACAAAACAATTTGAAATTATTTTCTTTTCTGTTTTTTTTGTTTTTTTGTTTGCCAATGTCAAGAAACTTGCGCAAGAGCTTCTAACAAATTGGGCACGCCCCCAAGCTGTGCCGCCCCTCGCTCAGTGAATGCAGCGAACACGAACGGCGTTAATTTCTTAACTATCAAGCAGGCGATCAGCATTTGCGAGGGTTGCCTGATAAGTTGCGAGCCTAAAATTGAAGTAAGTTGTTTTTGCGAAATACTCTTTTCTTCAAAGTAGTCTAAATGACAAACGTGCTTTATTTTTCGTGACACGAAGATGCACGAGTAAACACGACACGTTTGGGTAAATATTAATTCAAAATATAATTGTTGAAAAATTACAACTATACCAAGGTTTGAACCTGTGCGCAAATCTGTTTAAACTAAAGTACAAGGCATCTGCTGGTTCGAACAACCGAAAGTGTTTATAGTGCTCGAAAATGTCAAGCTAACAGTGTTGGAAAACTGAAATGGCAGCCCTCGTAGAGTGATCGTAGCGAGGGTCACTCTCAGAGTTTCATTTCTAAATCCGGCCAGTCATGAAGCAATGCCAGGCATTTATTTATTTTTATAAACTTTATTTCATTAACCAGTTGCTGGCAAATTGGCAACTACACGCGTGCTGGCCAAGTTAATGAAGAAAAGTGAAACACACTAACGTGCACAATTCCACACAAAAAATAAATACAATACAATAATAAATACATGTGTACACTCTGGCGAAAGAACTCGCCCAGTTGGCGACACTAATTGTCAATGATTGCGCGTCACCGTCAGCCATGCGTCCAAAAGGCGCTCACAATTTCTGGCTTAAATTGCCAAAGCGCAATTTGTCGCCAGTTGTGGTACAATATGCCACACTCATCTGGCATCTGTGGCATGTGTGGCAACTTTCTGGGCAAATATTTTTTATAAAGTCGCTGGCATCGCACTGCAGCGCACTTAGTCGCAATGTACGCTAACAAACGGAAACTAGTAATCGGCCAGCTGGGCCTCTGGCTCTGCCTCTGCCAGGAGCTGTGCTGGGCGCAAAATGCCAGCACCGTGGTCTGGGAGCCAAGCACTGCCAATAAGCGCGAGGTGGGCAACAGATTGGATTATGCGGGCATTAACATAGCCAAAAGCTATGATCCGCCACCGGAATTCTATAGAGGACCGGGCACCACATCCGGCAGCGGCAGCTCCACAGCCAGCCAAACTACGGGCGTCGGCAGCGGCACGCAGCTGGGCAACGTGGGTGAATCGCTCAGCGAGGCGTACAACAAATGGCGTCAGAGCACCGCGAGCCAGCACGAGCGGATCAGTGTGGGTACGTAAAGCAGCTTGGCTAATCCACAAGGAGCTACTACTATTACAAACACAACAGGTCATTTTGGCGCTGGTCTTGGCACGCATATACAAAGTCCACATGGACACGCCAGCTATGCCTACGAAGGACATCCCTATGAGTATGTTGGAGGCGCCGGCCATGGTGGCTACTATGGCGGCAGCGGCAGCAGTGCCGAGGCGGGCATACCATTCGATGTATATGGCACGCGACCAGGTCATGGCTCACATCATGTCCAACATTATCCGAGCACGGGCGGCGGCGAGTACGCCTATCTGGACGCACACGATATAGCCAGCCACAAGGGACCGGCGGAGTTGTCACAGAAAGCGCTGCTGGCCAAGAGTTTTCTCATACCGCTGGCCAGTGCTGCAGTGCTGGGCATAGCCGCTGCTCTGGTCAGTAATCCGCTGCTGCTGCAGCTGGGCACCGTGTCCGGTGTCGGCGGTGGATTTGCGCCCGTTGTGGGCAAACGCAAGAGACGGGCGCTGCGTCGCGCCTACTCAGCGCATAAATAACGACAATTAAATATTTTATCGAAATGCTTGCCAAATAAAACGGGCAATCGTAAATATCTGACAAGAAGAAAATGTAACTCTGCAAATCCTTTAACTAACAATTCTATTCTATTTCAAACATAACTCATGTTAATAATGTGGCGGCAAATAGTGTACAGCAAAAGTTATCGATAGCAACAGCTCGGCAGCGCTGTTAACTAACAGACTCTGTTAAGCTGCTGCAAGGGCTGTTAAATTTGAATTTGTATTTTGGTTTCTACGAATTTAAGCTAATTATATAAAATAGAGCAGCAAATTAAATTTAAGAGCTAATAATTGCTGTAAAAAGTAGCAAAGCCGTCGAATTGTAAATCTTAAATGTATATCAAATTTGACCCACTCTATTGACCGTGTGACTATTGTCCTTAACAGCTCTTTAAGTTAACTAAAAATAGTAACACGCTTCTTGGCCACAACTCATTTAGAGCTCAGACAGATACAACGACTCCACATGGCGACACACACACACACACACACACACACACACACGCACTTACACAGAAATATATATAATAAAAAAACTGCAACAAATGTAGTCGTTGGGGCAAACGCGGATGGAAACCATAAGTACAATAATTGAAGAAAATGTCAGCTACACACGATGCTACGTGACTTAATAATGCCCCATTGTGCGGCATAATAACGGCCACAACGTGTTGCTGCGCTCTTCAGCAGCTCTTTGGTGGCGCCTCCATTGGTAAGTTTTCTTGTCATTGACCATTTCATATCGTTAAGTTTATGACTTTGCTCCACAGGCACAAAACTTCAATGACAGTGTTTTATTCTTTTTTTTCACCCGCTCTCGCGTTATAAACCAACTATGCATTTTTAATTGCTAAGATGTTCAGAAATGGTGGGGGGTAGTGGAAAGGTAGGGGCTTAGGGTTCCGAGACTGTCACATTTGCTCAAGATTGAGGTTGGGATTGAATAAAATATGTTAATATGAACCTCTGTTAAAATGAACCTTTCCGCTCTTGGATGATATATTTATTTTTATCTATTAATGCCACATTTTCGCAAGATTGAGGTTGGGATTGACTAAAAAATGTTAAAACTAAACACTTTTGGAATGAACTATTTCGAATAATAAACTATTTCGCTTTTAAATCATGTCTTTATCTGTCAATGTCGCATTTGCGCAAGATTCAGGTTGGGATTGACTGAAATATTTTAAAATGAACCACTGTTGAAATGAACTGTTCCCATTTTTCAATGAATTTTGACCATTTACATGTGGTAAGTGGAAATGTAGATAGTGGGTAGGGTACCGGAGACAGTCTATGCCGCATTTGCATAAAGGTTGGGATTGATTGAAAAATTTTAAAATGAACCACTGTTAAAATGAACCTTTCCGCTCATGGATCTTTTAATGCCGCATGTGCACAAGATTGAGTTTGAGAATGGCCTAGAAAAGTTAAAATGAACCACTGTTGAAATGAACTGTTCCGCTTTTCAATGATATTTCTATCTCTATCATTAACATTGAATCTATAATTTTGCTCATTTAAATGAAGTATAATACGTATTTTTTCCGCTTTTTAATCATATCTTTATCTGTGAATGCCAAATTTGCGCAAGATTGAGGTTGGGATTGACTGAAATATGTTAAAATGAAACACTTTTGGAATTAACCTTTCCGCTTTTTAATCATATCCTTATATCTCAATGCCAAATTTGCGCAAGATTGAGGTATGGTTTGACTGATATATGTTAAAATGAACCACTGTTGAAATGAACTGTTCCGCTTTTCAATGATATTTCTATCTCTATCATTAACATTAAATCTATAATTGTGTCCATTCAAATAAGGTATAATGCGCACAATTACGGCTAACTATATGCCGAAACAAAATATTAATTACAATTCAGTGCGGCCAAAATGTTTTTAATAAATAACAAATGAACAAAATATAAATATATACTATATATAAATGCAGAAAAATAAAAACCATTAAGTTAGGCTGGGGAAAACGCATCAATTTGTTCAGCTGGAAACTAATTTGCATTGCTTTTCAATAATTTAGAGCATCGTGAATTTTCACTGACCAATGCCACAAAATGCCACGCCCCCTCATTTTGGGCTGCAGAGATGCAGCCGCAAAGTTAGTCGTGCAACCAAATGTGATTTTAGACATTTATGTTTCTAATTGAAATGGGTCACAATGAAAGGCTATGAACCAGATATGTAATTATTCAACAAATTAAAATCTATAAATATTGCATTTAATTTGTATGCTAAAATAATAAACATCGGTTGCTGCGGTTAGTTTTGGCCAGTTTTCTGCATACGCTTGTTTGTCCGTTTGGCCCGAATGATCAAATTGCGGTTAGCTGGCCAACTGGTCAAAGGGATTGGCGCCAGCTCACAGCTCCAGATGGCAGTAATCAGCCATTGTGTGAGGCTCGTCAATGGGATTTTCCCTTAATAAGTTAATTAGCCTGTGATAACTAACTTATCTGATAATTCAGGCATATAATTTGGCTAACATTCAAAGGGAAATTGGGTTTGATTTATATAATTAACATTTTTTGGTTTGTCCCGCATAAAGTTCAAATGAGGTAAGTAAAATGATCAAATAATATAGTTTCCAAATTTTTCAATCCAATATTCTAATTGAACATTTTCAAGTTTGGCGTAAGTTAATTCTAAAATCTAAAATTATTATTTTTAATTAAGCGGATAACCAATTAGTTAAACTTGTTAGGCGTTTTTTTTAAGCGCGCTTTTTTTCGGTATTTTAAATATATTAAATACTGAACATTGCAAAAAAATAATTTTAATGAAATCTTAAACTAATAAGTTAGAATTGAGGTCTTATTTCAAAAGGAATGTTTACTTTCCAATTTTTTCTCTAATATTTTCAAAATGTTTAGACTTTCCATTCGATCATTTTCTTTCAATTAAATTAAAAATAGTAAGCTGCAGGCTTTTCAAAAGCAAATTATTTTTTGTTTTAAGTAAAATCTACTTTTATCATTATCTCAGATACAAGAAAGTCCGTACACAAGCCTCAGATTCGAACTCGCATCCACCTTGCGCATAGACTAGATTTTCCATATTTCTAGATATTTCTTTATGCTTACTTTAATCAAGTACTTTTATCTCATTTCTAGAATCACACGTCCTTATGTCATATTCATCCATCCTTTGATATAATATCTCTAACTTCAATTCTGAATTCGTTTTATGTGCTGTACAACGTCTTAAGATTTCGAAAATCATACTGCACCAGTGTGGCCGCATGTTTTACACAATTTTCTTCCACTCAACGGAATGTCAGCATATTGGCTGGCACGCCCATATCATTGTCCCGGCAACAAATCACATTGACACCCACAATTTGCACAACCATGCCCACATAGTTGCGTGGGGGGGGGGGGGTTGGGGCAGCCCAAACATTCTGACCATACCAGCGAGAAGAAACAAAAGTAAAAAAAATAGAATAAAAAGGAGACAAAAAAAAAACTGAAACAAAAACAAATTACAACTGTTGTAAAGTGTCATTTTTCAAAGTGCAGAGCAATAGAGTGGGAGGTGGAGGGGTGTGCGTGGTTGGCAGCTGGGGGTAAAACGCAATGTAGAAATAATCATAATGGCCCAGCGCATATTTGAGACGAAATCTTGTGTGGAAATGTTACAGAAGCAACAGCAGGAAAAAAACAAAAGGAAATAAGCAATAGCAAAAACAACAATAAGAAAAATGTGAGCAAATTTCGCTGGCAGCGCAAAAGAAATGAGAGACAAAAAAGCAAAACAAGAAAAGCATCAGAAACAAAAAAAAACTAAACCAAATTCCAATTTGTCAGGAATTTGTTCAATTTCAGTTTTGCTTTGTTGGGTGCTTCGCTGGGCCTCTCTCCGCTCGCCGCTCTCCACCTAAGCATCTGCATGCTCCACACGTGCCGCCATGCAAAACCATAAGCATAACGGCTGTGCCGACCTCCACTGGCCATTATGGAGCTACCACGACAAATCGCACACATTTAACACACACACACACACACATCCACATCCACACACTTACGAAAAAAGTGCATACTTAACATCCACACAAAAAAGAGCAGCAGGCGAAGCAGCTGCTCAAAATGGCTCAAACAACGTCGCAGCTTGTCGCCCATTCATATCGATAGAGGTGAGCTTCTATCTCGTGACGCGTGTCATGTTGCTCTCTATATTTGTTAGTAAACTTAAATTAAAAAAAAAAAATAAATATAATATATACAATTTTTTTTCTTAATTTTTCAGCTTCATATAATAATAATAGGGTGCGACAATTTCAAAGGTTAGACTGTGAAGCTTACTTTTGCACACGATTAAGTTCAGCAGCTATCGGCTATGCATTTATAGTTATGTGCATGCATATGCCCATGCGTAACCTTCTTTTTGCTGAGCTTTGCGCTCTTTGCTTTTTTGCTCTACACAATTACACATATTTGCATCGCACTCTCTCCTCAAGGGAACGCGTAAGCCTGATCGCCGAGCTTCAGTACGCATACAGCTTTAGTCGCGATCGCTTGTATCTTGAGTAATAATAATAAGTGTGTGAAACAAAATTTCGCGAAGAATATAAATAAGCAAAAGTGAACAAAAATGGCGCGAAAATGATGAAAATACTTTGTTTCATGTGCATAAGAACCACTGCAGCTGCAATCAAATCAAGGTAGGAAAAGCATATATATTAAAACACATACATGCATATTTATGTATGTATAAGTAGCAAATTAACAACAGTAAATACTAGATCTAGCTGTTATTATGCGTTTATATGGACGGAGGTCGGGCATGGGCTTAAACTCGCCCAATGCTGCTGACTAAGAATATTTACATACATACATACATACATTTACAAAAATATGTATTTATATAACAGAAATGCTTATTTCTGTCTGTTATACAGATTTTCACATATGATAGAAATGTTTTTATATAACTTCTTAAAGCACTATGACCCACATTTTAATTGGTTAAGGGAAAATACGCTAGTGGTTAGTTGTTATATAAAGCTTTTTTTTAACTTGTTCGTGCCTTTTGTTTGTTATGTTTTATTTAGGCTAAATATTATTGAATATTTTATTATTTGTTATTTATTTACTGGCATTTCTATTATGTTGCTGCAGTTTTCGTGACTCACGCGCTCATCGCTAGTTAATGCTTGCGGTAGGCAGCAGAAATTTTTGGCTGTACTTTTGGCCGCTTTCCTAATGACATTTGTATGCGGACCTGCAGCCATGTGCAGCAGGGCGATTTAAACTTTCTGGAGGCCCTGGTTCTTAACTCATAAACACTGCAGCCTGCAGCTCGACTTGAAAAGTTGAATAGTGTTGTGGAGGGGGGAGGGGGCGTGTGTGTTTGTAAGCGAATTACCTATGGCCCTGTTGGCTACCAAAATGGCCGGCATTATCGTATGTATCGAATATGCCAAACGATAACGGTAAATTTACGTTAAGTGCAAGCGCCAAAAACCAATTGT